ATTACCGCTCCCGTCCCCACCTCAGGAAAGCACTATAAATACAGGCAGATTAACATGCCGAACTGCAAATAAAATGTAATTTGTTAATTGTTTTAGAAAATACAATAAATTATACATAAAAATATTTCAAAATGATAAAAAAAATAATAAAAATACTGTGGTGGCATTTTTTAGGTGCACCACACAGACTGTGTGACTAAATTTTCAACGTACTGAAGGTCTGACATGTTTTTGAGGAGTACAGCTGATTATTTCAGGGTGTAACGTACTTTCTCTTTCAGATTAAACTCTACCTTTTTCTTATTAGGGCATCCTGGGCTCTGGCTTTGCCCTCAAAGTTCAGGAGCAGCACAGGCAGAAACACTTTGAGAAGCGCCGTAACCCTGCAGCGGGCCTCATCCAGGTATCAGTCAAAGAAAAGCTTCATCACAACAATTTTTTTTTCTTTTTTTATTGTTATTATATAAACATATACAATCAGCTCCATAAAGGTACCGCAATGTATACATCATAAGATCACAGAACACAGTGTCAACAGAGCCAAACAACAACTGGAAAAGAGAAAAAGAATAAATAAATAAATAAATAAAGACAGAAATGATACAAAACAAAATGAAAAATAAAAAAACATACAACAGGGCAGCATATTAAAGTATAAAACTTTTCAAAAAATTGGACAGCTTAAACGCATTTTTTGACTTTACTAGACATAAAGATTTATAAAACAAGTTTAAATCATTCATCCACCGTCTACAGTTAGGAATGGTTTTAGAAAAGCGACATTTGTGTATATGAAATTTAGCTAACAATAAAACATTATTTATTCCATAGTCAATGAAGTGCTCATTGATGAAAATACCAAATTTAACATCTTGTATGGTTATATCTGCTAATTGTATACCATGGCTGAGAATAAACTGATGAAGATCTTGCCAAAAAGACTGAACTATTTCACACGTGAAAAACAGGTTATTCAAATCTTCAGTAACTTTTTCACAGAATCCACACTTATCTACATCCATTTTAAACCTGTGCCTCAGGAAGTTGTTAGTTGGATAAATTTTGTTTAAAATTTTAAATTGTATATCTTTTGTTTTGGAAGGAAGTGGAAGACATAAATATTTTGATCTAATCTTTTAAATTTGTTCTTTGTTAAAGTCTCTAAAGATATACTCTCTTTTAAGCACATCCGTGGCACAATAACTGGATAAACAGCTTCTTATAAACTTATTATTGCATTTGTTGTCACAAAAATCAACATTTTCAATCAAAAGAATCCTTAAACGAGGACAAACCTTAAAATACATTAAATCTTGTCTGACCATGGATACAAGCTGACGAGGGAAGGCTTTAACGATTTTTTTGTATTTTGCCTGGGTACAATATAATTGAAATGTATCATAAAACTCAGAATGCTATAATATGTTACCATTTGCATCCAAAAAGTGAGCAACAGCCCACACACCTTTACAAAACCAATTCTTGATAAAAAAAAGGATTTTCTATTGATCAATATATATCTATTGTTCCATATTGGAGTGTTATGTTGAGTGAAGTTGTGTTTGAAGATGAACTTCCAATACAAAAGAGCCAGTTGATGGAAATCTGAAAGTTTTACTGGTAATCTTCTAAGATCAAAATCACATGTTAACAGGAAATCAAGTCCACCCAAGTTTTTAAAGACCATACTGGGAATAACAAACCAAATAGAATTTAGATTCTGCAAACACAATTTAAGCCATTTTATTTTTAACATTCCATTCATAACATGAAAATCTATGGCATTGCCTCCACCATCTTCATATGATTTAATCAAATCCTGTTTTGCAATATAATATTTATTTCTCCAAATAAAGTTGAAATTTAAATTATTAATATTCTTAATTATTTTGCTTGATAAAGGTAAAGAGTTCATCACAACATATTCAGACCAAATTCTGTGCTTTCTGCTTTCGATTGAACGCTAAAGTAAAACTATTTCCCTGCAGGCTGCCTGGAGGTTTTATGCCACTAACCTCTCCCGTACAGATCTGCTGTGCACTTGGGATTTTTACGAGCAGACTGTCGCTGTTCCCATGTATAGGTAAGAGATGCCTTACAAGCGCAGCTTGCTTACTCAGCGTTTTCTGGAAATCCTGTTGTTTTACTGTATCACATTCTGCTACCATTATTGGTGTTGTAAGCACAGTAGAACACAGACTATCCTTTTCCCATTCAGTCTTTCTGTGGGGTCAGATGTGGCTGTCTGTTTGCCCAGCGGAGCCTTGGCAGAGATATCTGTCTGAAAGACATTTTAAAAGACGATTCTCCCTGCAGCCACTTTGAGAAATTAATTTGATGTCCAGTGCTGCAATGACTCAGCAAAAAAAGCATTTAGCTTCACTTTCACACAACAGATTTATGACTTTCACAGTGTGTTGAAAATATCTGGTGCTGCTTCTCACCTTAAATCATAATTTGAGGTGAAAGGGTGATGGTTAGATGCCAGATTTGATGTGTTAAACTTGAAAGGACCCTGAAGGCAAGCTTTAACCATTTTAAATGGGTTAAGCCATCTTAACAGAATGATGCAATCCTATTTTTGTGTTCCTAGAATCATCCCACCACTGAATCAACTGGACCTGCTGAGGAATCTGAAGGGAAAGTCATTCAGGTAGGAATATGATTTATGTATTATATATGTTAACCTGCCAGTCATGTTTCTGGACTGTGAGAAAAGCATTTGAACAGTGACAACATGCTAACTCCATGCAGTAAACACAGGCTGGGATTCAAACTCACAACCTTCTTGTTGCTAGGCAACAGTGCTACCAGCTGTGCCACAGTATGTGAATGTTTTTAAGCATTTCACCACTTCACCTGTATGTCCATCAGTGAATCTGTAACTGGTAAAACTCATGCAGCTACTGCTGCCCCCTGCTGGTTTCATAGGAGACATCATTTATTCTGGAACATTTTGAAAATAATTACTTTATTATTTGTAATATTGACACAAAATTTTCACTAAGGTATGGGCATATTATTTTTGGTTTTCATGGAAAGAATATGAATGCAGCTGGATGACTGGCAATTAATCTAATTATGATATTTGGCAAATTTCATGTTTACAAATGTACATTTCTTTCATCGTCACCCATTTATGTATTCATTTTATTTTTTTTATAGTTTTGGTTAACTACATCAGACTATACTTATTCACTTTTTCCAAGAATACAAACCAAAATGCTGTAAGCAGATATGAATGTTGAACTCCTGGCATACTTTATTTCACGTTTAGTTTTTTCTTTATGTTTGTAAACAAAGATGTTTTCTCAAAAAATAATAATAATAATTCTTGCAGATCCACATGTTGTGCTGTAACTGCAGGAGATTAAATGTCCCTGGTCCAATAATTTGTGTCCTCTTCATTTGTTTTTTCATTTGTAGTTCTAAAGAATCTCCACCCTAACATCATAGAGTGATGCTGATCAATCATTTACTAATGCAGAGAAGCTGCAGCTGATAGTTTGTGCCTTTTTCTCCTTACAGGAAAGATTCTCAGGCAGAAACCTCACCCAGGTCTGTGAAATGATTCCTTTTTATTCTCCTCTTTCACCTTCCTTTGGCTTCACTTCAATTTGGCTCTTAGATGCTCTGAGGCACTCTTCTTGGGGGGGAGTGTGCGAAGTATGTGGGTGTGTGTGTGTGTGTGTGTGTGTGTGTGTGTGTGTGTGTGTGTGTGTGTGTGTGTGTGTGTGTGTGTGTGTGTGTGTGTCAGACATGATCGTGGCCAAGCGATAAGTGCCTCCTTCAAGAATGGTCTTGCTGCATTTGCTCTCTCGCTCAAAGATCAGCTCATTCTGGCCTCTCACAGCTTTACAAGATATTCACAGGGTGACCAGATCCCAACGAACTCTCTGTGAGACTTTGTGTATGGAGGATGGATGAGCAAGACAAGGCAAGGAAAGTCTGAGAAAAATTTGTCTAATAGCGCCACAGTGTGTTGTAGTTTGGTAATGACTTCAGCTGCTACTGCTGAAGCAGCAGTTATGTTGTCAGTTACAGACAAATGGCATCATGGGTAACAACTTTTTATCTGTAGTTTGAAAATAATACTGAGCTCCTTTTATTGGGCTGCGGATATGACTGTCACTGCCGTCTGCTTGGCACCTTGTTGAATCTACATGTTTACGACTTATTTTGAAGAGAGGAAGCAGATGCCTCTGTTGTTAGGCAGAGTCAACTAGTAAAGACCTCTGGCTGTTGTTAGCTAGCTTCTTAGCTAGCTGACAAGAGTTTGTTACCAAAACACAGAAGTTCCCACCACTTCAAACTTTTTGATCTTGATAAAATAAAACCAGTGAGAGACAAGATACAAATGATTTTTTAACCCTATTAGAATATGGTTACAGACTAGCTGCTTGCAATGCTGCAGTTAGCATTTGATTTTTAACTTAAAGCTAAATTAGAAGGCTACTTTGCTATACTCTCCCTTGAAGAAGAGATTCTTATTCCAATGGTAACTTCCCGTTAACTTCAATTATTCCACAGTGATTACACATTACCATGTAAAATAGAGTTTGTTGGTTTGTGAAATCTCTGATCAAACATGGGAATTTAACAACATTGCTGAAATCTCATCTTCTTCATGATGTGAATACAATTCATCATCTCCCTTTATGAGTGGGTGCAAAACACCTTATTTAAAAAAAAAGCAAACAAAAACCAGAACGCATGGCATGTATGCAGTCCTCTGTAATCCGACACCCCTCAATAAATTGCTGTTTGTAAGTGTCACCTTGCTGCGTTGCTTCTGAAAGGTGGAAAATGTTGATCATTTCTGAAATTGTATGAGAAGGTTTTAAACTGTTTTTCAGTCTCACATAAGAGGGGCATCTGGCCACCCTAAATATTCACAAAGAAGCTGCTCTTTGACCCCCGGCCCTCCAGCTTCCAGCATTGCCTCAGCACCATTTCTTTGGATCACTTTAAGAGCTGCGCTTGAACTGTACATCACTGTCTTTGGTCAAGAAAACATGTGAAATAATTGACGATGTAGTAACACTCTATCATAGCTAACCCCTTAGTTAGATAATTCTGATTTTGTTGAATGGAATGTAAGAATAATTAAAAAAGAACATAATGAGAACCATTTAAGAAAGGATAGTGAATTAAATTGAATTTCACACTGTGGTTATAGTAAAGTGTTACTGGCATCATATTATGGCACACTCTGGTGTTTTTGTGACTGTCTCCACTGCTGTTGTATCTTTTTGTGTCTCCTCTACTGCCCACCACTCCAGTAGTGAAAATGCACACAAAGACAGACTTTGTGGGTGCTGCCCAAGAACTCTTAGGTATAGTTGCCGCACAGATTCTAACAAGCTGCACTGCAAGTTCGTGTGTTTCCTTCATTCCCCACCTTGTTTCCTTCTTTCTTTGAACTAAAGCTAAACCTAGATGGCTCATTGATGAGCACACGTGTTTTTAGGTCAAGATTACTAGATGACTAGATGATTATAAGGATGTAAAAATGCTGTCAGTGATCTGTATTTAAGAATCAAAAGCTACTCTCCCTCAACCTTTCACGTGTTTTTCCCCCCCTCAGAGAACATGCAGATATTCACCCCCTGTTTAGGTCCCTGCCACTGTTGATTTATGGTTTTGTTTAGTAATGTCTTTATTGCAGTTAATTTGCTTGCTGACTTTTTTTGCCAGATCAGCCGTTGTGAAACTCTGTACAGCAGGCAGCTGCACACTGCTGAGTGCCTAACAGCTCCAGAGTATCTGACAGAGCACACAGTATCAGGGTGATTTATTTTTATTTTTTGCATGATTAGTGTTCACTTTTTTTTTGTTTTGCGTAGAGTGAGACCACAGCTACAACTTTGCTTCACATGCATGCCTGCTTGTAGCTTTCTTGCTGCTTGCCTGACCCACTCAATGCTCCACTATGCTCGTATGTGGACATGGCTTCTTCTGCTGTAGGACTTTGGCCTTTTTGAGTTTCTTCTGAGGTAAGAAAAATTATCGCAAGTGCTAATTTATCAAAGGTTTTGCAACAAAAAACAAAAAACAACAAAGATAAATACATTTTATATTGTGATTTCATTTGGGCATGATGTACAGCAATCACTCAGTCACATTCATTGAATATTCCTTCCTTGCTCTGCGTAGTCGGAAAGCCAGTCTGAAGGACAAGGTGTTTCCCAGTCCTTCCAAAGCCCCCGTGACTAAGGGGAAAGCCCCCTCTCCGGGGGCAGAAGACGGCGCTGAAGCCAGCCCGAGCAAAAGCACCAAGAGCTGGAGCAGAGTCCGAGGCGCCGCCTCTCGCCAAAACTCAGATGGTAAGAAAACAAAATGCAGTAAAACTGAATAACAAAGAGTGCTAAAGTGCAGCTGAGATGAATATAGTGTGCATGATTTTCAGTGATTTTTATTTAGATCAGGGGACAAAAAGTTATTGGTACTTTTTATCTGTTAAGCGTGACTGATCTCATGTCACGGTTGAAACAATAGACTGTAGGTCTGTTTGGTTGAAATGGTAATTCCGCTTCAATAGAATTTGAATTTGTAGAAATTGGTAATTTTCCAGAAGAGTTATGGATTCTACACGTTCAAATGACACCCAACTTTTTATGAACCGTGATGCTGTGAGAGCTGGTGGAGCCGGCTGCACGCTGTCTGAAAAACAAAAACAAACTGTCACTTCCTGTCGTCTTCTCCTTCATGATTTTCCCCAGTAGTAACATCCGGCTGTTGATGACATGCATTGCAATATGAAGAAAATGTTTTGATCTTACTGAAAAATGCTTTATCGAAAAAATTAAATTGCCGTGTTCCCACAAAGCAAATTTATTTTCAGAATTTCAGTTTGCCCAGTTTCATGGTTAATGGAAATGCAGCTACTGATGTTGGAGGAACTGGTTCAGGTGAAGAACATGTGGAGGCCAGACAACACCAAACCCATTCAGATGCTCCTCTGGTTTTTTATATTATTACATCACTAATAGTATATGTTAGATTGTAAAAGTCACGAAACCATTGAATGGACATGCAGAAAAACTACTGAGAAAATTTGCCATTTTAATGTATTTAATTTTTTCCGTTGAGCGCTCATGCCGCCCCACTGGCCTTTCTGCCCTGAGTGTTCAGCCATATCAGAGTCAACAGCAGTTCAGCGTTTTTCCAGCTCAAACCAGGAAGCTGTGGACATGGCTAATAGATTACAATATTCTGTCTGTTTAGATCTGAAACCCCATTAGAAAAAGTCATCTTCCTTTAAATTAGACATAAAATATTAATTATATTATTCAATTATATTTTAAGCTTGATGGTCTGTAATTTTTCAAAATTCACAGCTTCAGAAAAATGTTTTCCAGGTTAAAGACTAAAATGACTGTTTGCTACACTTTACATCCATGCATCATTCAGGGCACTGTGCCACAAATCTAGAAAGATTCTTCATCATCTCTTTACATTTTCTGTTGAACAGTTTGAACCAACTCTCATCAGCTGTATGTTTTCTTCTTTCACCTCATGACATGTTAAAGTGCTGATTGAAATGCAGGATGAAGACTTTGGACTGAAGAGTTCTCCAGGTTAGACAAGTCACCATGACATAGCTTGAGCTTTTACCTCTGATTTAATCTGTAAGTTTCTTTAGTGTGTAGTGTTTTGTAAATTTATACCAACCAGTTGATCGTCATTTAGACAGAAGAGGCAATTTAAACCTGAATCAGAAACTATTTAGTGGATCCACATGCATCCATGTTTACAACAGATTTGTCTGCCATTGTCATCCAGCTACAGAATCCATAACAAATCTTTTCCCCTCATGTCTCTCCTCTTTTTCTCTTTGCAGCAATTGAAGGTTTAATAAGTAAGATATTGGAAGTATTTTTATTGGTTGGCTTCTACAGAGAAACTATAAAAAAAAAAAAAACAAGAAAAAATTTGGCTTTACCCGTTTCTGAGAAAACTGCATGCTGACATTTGTTGACTTGACCTGAACCCCTCTATAATTTTCTATTATATTTATTTTCTCCTTGTTTTGACTGAAGGCTGTAAAGCATGAGTATATCTGAGAGCATGGTATGATTTTAATACCTCTACACATTATTGGAAAACACACAATTATGAAGCTTGTCCCCCCCCCCCCCAGCAAACAGAGGCTAAGCTAACAGCGGGTTCAAGTCAAGCATTAAGACAAACTCACACAGATATGTTGTAGTCAAAAATCCTGCTTTATTTTGCATGAAAAAGGCCCCATTTTCACCACAAAAGTTTCAACTTATTTCTGCAGTTAGGTCTTGACACCTTTATGACACCTTTAGCATGTTTAGCTTAGCCTAGTGGCTAAGCTAAACATGTGAAATCCAATGCTGACTGTGCTAATCCAATAACTGGTGGCGGGAAGAGCGTAATTGTCATTAAAGGTCTCAGTAGCTTCCTTTATCACTCCAGCTCTATCCTTCAATTCTGCTCCACACAATCCTTTACTCTGTGGTTCTCCTCAAAAGTCGTTCATTGCATTTACAGCAGGCTAACTGGCTTAACACCAAAGTGTAACCTGTAAGGATAAAAGCAAGAACCACGCTTTGTTTCTGTTGCTCGTGGTTCACATGCAAGAAAAGGTAAAAATATTCCCTCTTTTTGTCTTTGCTTTCCAGAAGCGAGCCTCCCCGGAGAGGAAATCGGTGATGATAAGAGCTGCCACTGTGAGTTTTTCACCCAGGAATTACCTCCAGGACTCAAGGTTACTGTTAGGGCTATTTGGTAAGGATTATCTTTCCATAGCATTTTATTTTGACTTTTTACTAATGCTAACAAAACAGGCTAATAGTAGTTGTGGTGGGATTAGATTAAAAAAAAAAACTGAGTTAATGGCAAGATCTGTAATTCATTAATCAGCAATTAATTGCATTTTAGTCAAAAAACATATGTTGACAAAGTAAGCAACGTTTTCACTTTTTTGAATAAATATGAATAAAACAACAAAGATGTTTATTGTTTTTAATCTGTTATATTTAGGTTATTTAGCCATCAAATTAGTTCTGTTCAGATTTCATGAAGTGTGATCATTCATGTAACTTTTTTGAAAAAGTACTTCTTTAGAAATGTGTGCTGTCGATGCTGACAGTGTTGGGGACGTTTGTGCTGCTGCAACATGTTTAGCATTGAGTATTTAATGCTTGAATAGTTTCGTAGGCCAGCTCCTTTTAGCAGAACTTGTACACAGTAACAGTCTTCTCCAGCGTTCCATCAGATTGTCTTTTAAAGCAAAAATGAGAATCAATGAGTCAATCAAAGCGCCTTTGTTTTCCATCTTTGTTGTCTGCGGATGTCTCTTGTGCAACAGATTTACGGGCGTACTAGAAACAAGCGAATACAAGGGTTCTGCCTCTTCACTTTTGTAGATAAAAATAAATGTCATTAATTTAATTTAAAATTTTTACGTGTTAAGATGTATGTGATTAATTGATACATATTAACACATTAGAGTGCTGGCCTTAAATATTAGACATGGGTAGATTCCTATCACCAGCCTGACGTCCCTCCCGGTTCACCCCTGTCCATCTAAAACCCAGTCTGAACCTGGTGGTCTCTGCTCTGATTAGTTTTTCTCATGTTTGAAATAAATGGCTTCTTTCAGTCCAAACACAAACAAAAGTCCAATCACACCTTTAAAGCTGGTCACTTTAAATACATTGATATTTTGAATAGCAAATAAATTCACGTGGTTTGTGAAAACAAGGTGTCATCCCCCACAGTGTCATGAAGTTCCTGGTGTCAAAGAGGAGGTTCAAGGAGAGTCTGCGGCCTTATGATGTGATGGACGTGATTGAGCAGTACTCTGCAGGCCACCTGGACATGCTGTGTCGCATTAAGAACCTGCAGTCCAGGCAAGTACATGTTTTACTCTGGGGTGGCTTGGTGTGAACACGGTTGAAATCTGGACTTCACGGCGGATACACACATGTTGTGATACACACGCGCCATTGACCTGCCTGTTTCATTTGTCCAGCTACATGTGCTGTATTCAGATCTATATCTGCAGCTTTTATCCAGCACCACAGCACAGTTCACTTCTTCACAAAAGTATCCAGTGTAACATTGTCTTCTTTTTGTTTTGTATCAGTTTTATCAGCTTCCTCAAAATCCTGACGCCCCGAAGGTCTAACATGCACAAAAAATATATTCCAGCAGTGAAATGCCTACACTTCATCCATGCAGCAAGTCAGATTCACTGTGTCCCTGTGTGTGTGTGTGTGTGTGTGCGCGCGCGCATGTGTGTGTGCGTGCATGTGTGTCAGAGGAATATATTGAAACTTGTTCTTCATAGTTAATGTGATTCACACGTTGCTTCACTTTGCATTGCCCTCATATCGTCTCTGTGTGCCTTGCCAGGATAGATATGATTGTGGGGCCCCCTCCCCCAACAACACCGCGCCATAAGAAGTCCACTGAAGGTCCTAGGTTAGGTTAATAGACTGCACCTTTAGACCATTTATCAGCATTTACCCTCTGTGTACCATAGCTCAAATATTGGAGCAGTTTCATTTTGACTGGTGAACCCCTTTTGAGCTTCAGCCTCTTGATTTGTCTCATTACATTAACAAGATATCAAATTTTATTTTTTTTTTGTTATAAGGTCAAATGTACAGTTTTGTTTGTTAAATTATACTCTTTAACAACCTGCCACCAATAAGAGGAGGAGATACAAACCAATTAGTTAAAACTACTACTTACATATGTTAATGAGCCAATGGCCTCACTCAACAGGGGTTTGAAGTGCTAGATGCTTGTTCTCCCAACGGAGAGACAGATGAATAGATTCCCCCCATAGGATGCAATGGAAATGAAGCATGACCAGCACCACAGAGGCATGCCCAGTGATGCACTATGGCCTCAGACTGACTATGTCTTTCAGGCTTTGTTCATACTTTGTCTCATAATGCATGGATCCACACATTTCATTGAAAGCTACTACTTTTTAAAACGCAGTCAATTATGTGGAGCTTGAAGACAGAATTCTTTTTTCATTTTCTCATGTCAGACTCATTTACATCTTTGCATTTTTAACATTTTTAATGGTAAACTTCTGAAGTTTTCTGGCTGACATGGAATTGTTTGTTTTATCCCATCTGACTAAACGTTTTTTTAAACCCTAGAGTTGACCAGATCGTTGGTAAAGGCTCCAAAGTGGATGGAGAGGGAGTGGAGGACCAGAGCATGATGGGACGACTTGTCAAAGTGGAGAAACAGGTGGGCGTGTCCCAACTGTCCACCAGTTCAGAGAACATCTACACCAGTGGTCCCCAAACTACGGCCCGCGGGCCGAATCCGGCCCCTCTCCACATTTGGTCCGGCCCCCTGAACAATACCAGAGAGCATTTAGATNTTTTTTTCCATATACCGTATTTTCTGGACTATAAGCCGCTACTTTTTTCCTAAGCTTTGAACCTTGCGGCTTATAGCCCAGTGCAGCTTATATGTGGATTTTTCTTCAACCACCAGGGGGCTCTTTAGCAGGAAGTTAATCAAATGGAAGTCAAAATTGGAAATAAAAGAAGAAAGCACCCATTAAAACGGAATTAGGTTTTAATAGGGAATTGGAATTTGAAATGTTGTTGATCAGTTAAATAGCATTGAGGGGAAAAAGATTTTTTTTATTTTTATTTTTTTAAATACTGGGATCATTATGAGAATTTGAGGTATAGATATTAGGATCCGATAGATGGCAGTAGTACAACAATAATGGATGCAAGCTGCCGTTGAAATCTAAAGAAGAAGAAGAAGAAGAAGACGCCCATTTTCATTTAGCACATGCTAGTAGCAGACACGAAGGATCAGCACTTTTACTGTTACCGTTCGGAACTTACCGTAATCAGTTCAGTTAAATCTAAACTTGGCAAATTTTCTTTTTCAACCGTAATAAATGTGATATTCAATTGACCTGTTATGACTCAAATTTTGGGTGTCTGCCCCCCTCTGCTGCATCGCTGTGGAAAACCTGGAGCGGCAGAGATATCTGCGGTTTATAGTCCGGTGCGGCTTATAGTCCAGAAAATACGGCATTTATTTCATAAATAGTGTTATTTCCTGGATTTTTTCTGTGAAGAACCCAGAGAGGGTTATTTGGTTATTATTTATTTCATTAATAGTGTTATTATTTATTTCCTGACTTTCTGTGAAGAACCAGAGAATGTTATTTGATTGTGCTTTCTGGAAAACAATACATTTTTACATTTAGGCACTCCTGCAATCGTCACAATTTTTCTGTAACAAAC